TTCTGGATATACGCCGCCGGCCATCATGGCGTTTGACGAAGCGATGTTGCCGTCCCGCTCCACGCTCAATAGGATGCGCGTGTACATCAAGGGCAAGCCCCACAAGTGGGGCACGAAGCTGTTCATGTTGTGCTGCTCCAATTCAGCATATTGTATACGGTGAGTAGCAGGCGTGCCTCCGGGCACGCCTGCTTTGTTTTTGGTTCCAAAGTATTGTTATCGTGTATGATACTAGCTTGTGTTCTATTATCTTGTATGATACAGCTTTGAAGTGTCTTGTGGAAAAAAAGAGAGATCGGGCCAGGGAAGTTCCGCTAACCAAAAGTCTGGCCCTGCTGCCGTCGTGCGCAACCTGAAGCAAGCGTTTGGGCCTACTGCACCACCCAATGGAGAAATTCGACTCGTTGTCATGGACCGGTTTTATTCTTCTGTGCCGCTATCAATGCAGCTCCTGACCATGGGATTCTACTCTATTGGTACGGTCCGGACGGACCGCCAAGGACTGAGTACAAAGCTGATCCCAAACAAACAGGCTGGAGACAAGAAGAAACCACCAAAGATTCCAAAGAACAGACCAGCAAACATTGAGCGGGGCACGTTCATCGTGGCTGAGTTCTTGTCGGTACCAGTGATGCGTGTGCTACGTTGGTGGGACACACGGGCCGTTCACATGCTGAGTACGGGCGGGAGTGTGCAGCCAGATCGTATTGTACGTCGGGACAAGCTGACAGGAGAGCAGCTCGAAGTGGTCTGCCCGCGCATTGTGAAGGACTATCAGACGTACTTGGGTGGCGTCGATGTCCATGATCAGCTACGTCTACAACGGTAAGTCAGTTATGTTGTATGTGCAAGTTCAGAATGCCTAATCGTGTATGGTACATGGTACAGATACTCGTTGCAACTATGCATCAAATACAAGAAGTACTACAAGGGTCTGTTCCTAGGCCTCGTTGATTTAGCGATTATCAACTCCTACATCGTCTTCAATGCTGCTCGAGCAGCTTCCAATCTCCCCAAAACTAGCCATGTCAAGTTTTTGAAACAGCTTCACCTCGAGCTTTGCCAGCTTAGAGATGAAGACTGGGAAGGACTTATTGCCGACGAGATCTTTCAAGCAACGGCTTTAAAGGATACTAATGCTGTTAGAATCCACCGTGGGAGCCACAAGCCGCTACTTAACGACGGGTGGAGGCCAGGCAACAACAATTCAAGGGCGGAAGCGACGGACAAGGGCCTGCAAGGGTTGCTCATTGCTAAAAGGCACTAAGACCGGTCGTGGCGGTGATTCGTCGACTTACTGTAGCTCGTGCAGGCTACAAACGGCGTCCAAGAAACCTATGGCCTGGCGAGTCTTCTTGTGCGAGAAGAAACGCCACACCCTGAAGGGCAAGCTGCTCTCCTGCTTCGACATCTGGCACAAGTCGTGGCGCAATGGGGCCCTGGCACCTGCTCCGCAGCGCGGGGTCAAACGGACGATTCGTGCACGGGCTCCTGCGCAACATCCGGCCCTAGGCAGTGCCAGCGATGAGGATTCCAGTAACGAGTCTATTGTAAGCAACTCCTGCCAGCAGAAGCGCGCCCGTCGCTCAACCAACGCAGCGGCGACGGATTGAAAATCAATTGCGTCTGTCGTTTTCATTTGATTTTTGTATTATTAATTTCACATAATTCTGGTCCGCTGCACATGTTTTGTGATGGCGTTGTTATGCACTTTTCGGGCACGTGTCTGCTCTGCAATTGAACGACTCTGTCACAATTATGTACTCACTTTGCTGCTCATCATACAGTTTATTAGTGTAAACATGTATACTTTCAGGCGTCAGTTTGGACCATACACCATAGTGAAAGATGTCTTTCACGATGTTTAGGTTTAGCATGATTCTATCACATATACACGTTACCAAACTATATATTGTTTTGCATACTAGCCCTTACCCGCAGATACACGTTAGAGCGCCTAGGGTTTCGGCAGCAAGGGGGTACGGTACTACCTCGGGCTCAAGGGGTTAAAACCACGGCTTTAAAGTCTGTTTCCAAATAGGCTCGTAAGATATAATACCGGTGAAACCCCGGTCTTAGAATTTTTTGCCAAAGCAGCGACATTTCGGTTTTGCTTAAAAACGTATGAATCTGAAAAATGCAGCAGCCGTACAAGTATTCCACATTATTCTCGGTAAGTTCGTTTTAAGTTCGCTTTTCTCAGTCTGAACAATGCTCATGAACGGTGCACTAAGGTACGGTCGCCATCCTTGTTCCCCGCCGCATATCTCGCTTTACACGTTTCACTTATCATTCTATCCACTCCCCCACCTCTGTGTGCGCGTCTTGTCTCTTCCTATGTGTTTATTGCCCGCTGTATCGCTCTACAACGTCCACAATTCCATACCCAATCACTAGCGCCTACCTCCGAGACACGGCAGGTTCCATCTCAGACCCTTTGCACGGCCACAGCTTCTCTTCAGTCAAGCAAAATCTCCTGCCAACTGTAGACCGCAGCCTACTCTTCTTCCGGGAATGTTTGCTGTGTCATGAGCGTCTCCTTGCTATCGGGAAGCCCAACAATGTCAGAAGAAGGAGTTTTTCGGCTCCTATTATCAGGTCTTCAAACTCAGTGGTCTGCCAGTGTCTGAGCTGCGGCAAATTTGCACATCGAGAGTGCGTGAGCTTCTCGCATACTCATCGATACTGTAGAGGCCACGAGAGCCTCATGCCAATGTGTAGCCATGCCCCACCGCCAGCAGACGCGCTGCTGTTCCCACCGCCTGAGAAAGACCAACAGAGCCATAAGAGAAAAGACAGAAAAGGACACAAGAAAGCGGAGAGTTTTACGCTAGCTACGCTGATTGAGGAGCTGAATAGTAGCAGTGGTGTTGCAGCTGTAGGGGCCGCTTCAGCGGTGATGACAAAAAGAGGGTCAAGTCAGAAACAGCAGTTCCAGACAGCATCCAAGTATGCCAAGAAACTGGCCCCAGTATTGGCTGCTGGGGGCGTAGTGGGGGCGATCGCCATGGGTCCAGCCGCCGGGGTATTGGCTGGCCTCAACATGCTGGTGGCCAGTGTGGGGGCGGAGACGGTCATGGCCGGCATTGGACTCACCGCGAGTGCGGCGGCTGCGGCCACAGTCACGCATCAGAGCAAAGTGAAGGCGGCACAGCGCAAAAAGGAGCGACTGAGGAAAGGCGAGTGGGCGATGGAAATCTGCTGGAGCTGCAAGAAAAACTTCGACGGAGCCCCCTCGGACGAGGCGTGTCGAAAAGATGCAGAGTTTCTACGTCGCTTCCAGCTCCCAGTCGCGCGGCCACAGAGCCAGGAAGATGACGACACGCAGACGTTAACGACGAGCTCAGCGCACGAGACCAGACCCGAGGACGTTGAAGTGTACCGGTTTCTGTTCGGTATTTTCTCTGCTCCCAGCGAGCTTCTAGGACAAATGAATGTGCAGCTGTGCGAGGCTTTCCGCCGGCGCTTTACAGCTAGACACCGCAGGAAGATGAGGAGACCGAGCTTTACGGGAAGCAGTAGTGTCCACGTCACCGAGTTGAATACTGTTCGCGCAATGGCCAAAGACACGCTTCAGGACACCAAGATGTACGTGGCTCATGTGCTGGGTGCCACGCTCCAGTGCTTTCCGAGTCTAGCGAGCACTCCCGAAGCTGTAAGCAGCTGCACGCTTGCTGTCGAACGGATCGTTTACGACGACATCCACGCTTTGGTGTTCGCCGAGTTCCAGCGCGCGTTCGTAGACGCCGACGCCTCCTTCGCTGATAATCTGGTGGATATTCGCCGGGAACAGAAGTATCACTCTTCTGCGTTGCTACAGCTGCCTCAAGAGGGTGAGAACCTTCAGAACTCTGTCCTCGCCGAAGATCTCCAGAAAGCGGAAGCTACAATGGTCACGATGATGCAGGAGACGACCTCGCCTCTGCTCAAGCTGGTGCTGCTTTGTGACGCGTTCCGAAGCATCTGCTGCTTCGCGGAGAAGTTGCATCAATCTGCCTCAAACGCCGACATGTTGATCCCTATTTTGTGCGCATTTATGGTCGAGTGTCCACGAGTGTGTGGCCCAGGCTCGGAGTTCGTGGCTGAGATCGCATTTATCTCGTTCTTCACGAACGGCGGCGGCAAAGGCGTCGAAGGCTACGTGTTGACCACGTTCCAGGCGTCCATCCAGGTCATCGCTGCCGTGGACCTGCCGAGTGGACATGCGAAAGAGCTGGAGCTTTTCATCAACGACGATGAGAGCGAAGCCGCAGAAGAAACGGATGGCGACGACGACGAGTTCTTCGACGCCGTGTCCACCACAACACCAAAGTCTCAATTACAGTCATAGAGTTGTTATGTTCTACTAAAGAAGAGTGCCTTTATTGTAGATAGTAGAAGTGATACGTGGCTCAATGCGACGACAACCAGTGAGACTGGATGCGAGATGAATTATGAACCGATATCGTTGCAACACAGCTACGGGCTCTCTAATAAGCGTAGTCAAGACGCTAATCAAGGGGTGAATAGTGGTAGCGGTGGAAATCTTCGAACAAAGTCCACAATATTCACGTGTGGTGAGGTTAAGCTTCGAACGTCGATACAGTCTGCAAGTCTTCGTGGCGGGTGGCTAAATAGCGGCTAATGACTTGATACAGCGGATTGCACCATAGCTGAATCGACCACAGAGAGCACCGGGAGCTCTGCGTTTAGCTGTTTCCCTCCTCTCGGTGAATTCATTCGTGCCGCATCCCCAGCCGGAAGGTGCTTTGGCGTCTCCAGCCTCTAGCAGCGATCTTGGTCAATGGAAAGCAGCTTTTGAGACCGCACTCAATGCCAATGCCACCATTGCTCAAGCGTGGTGCCAAAACACTTTTCAATCTACCCTCTCACTGCTCATCACGTACTAACACTACGTACACTTATCACCACCGACGATGATTACCGGTCTTTGGTCCCAAGAAGAACACTCCAAGTTCCTCGTCGCCATCAAGATCTACCCGCACGGTCCGTGGCGCAAGGTCGCGGCGTATGTCGGCACACGCTCCATCCGCCAAGTGCAGACCCACGCCCAGAAGTACCACGAGAAAGTGGTGCGTCGTATGCGTGGTCTGCGCAAAGGACGTCGGTCCTCTGGTCGTAAAGAACACCGTATTGACGACGACTTGCTCGCTGCATGCAAAGTCGGCGAGGGCTTCGGTGTTGTCCTACCCAACCGCATTACAGTGGAACAGCCAACAACTCCCACTTTCGAGCTGATGGTCCCGCTCTTGTTGGATTCGATGCATGGATCCACGAGTCCTGGTGGCGTCGACTCCAACGGTATTTCCGACACCGCTATCGACACGAAGGACTCGGTAACCCAATACCAACTCCCGACGATTGACGAGTCACTCGATTTCTTGATTGAGCGATTGACTAGTGCGGTGAACGAGACTGTCAATATCCAGCTCTGAGAAATCCTGGTGTTGCTTTGGCCTGTTGATTATTTGTGTTAAAAAATAAAAGTGAAATACTACCGGTATTCAAATTTATGAATTTTAGAAATATAATACGAAGTAATTGCTGCAAGATGGCCCAAAGTGCAGCCGAGAGAGACGGCAATTGCTCCATAACATCGAGAAAAGGCGAGCTGTTGCAGCATGTTCGGCCGAGACAAGTGGGTCCAAGCGAAAGCAACAAGAAGCGCCATTGGGCCAACTTGCTGAAAGTAAAAGGTGGTAGAGTGAACAGCTGTAGATATTAGAGAGCTTTAGTTTCTGGAATAACGCAAGGCTTGGAATAACGACTCTCTGGATAAAATCTGAATAAATGACGGATAGATTACCGATCGATATTCCAATATTGTATATTGCCGCTATTCCACTGGAAATATATTTCTGAGCGAAGAAAAGTCTAATTCCAGTTATTTCAGAATCTAAAGTTCTCTATTATACCCCGGTGACTTTCTTTCATTTGACAGCATTCACGCAACAATTATCACAGAGCGTACATTTAATATTTTGCACCCCTTTTCTGAATAGGGTCAGTCTGTGGACTGAAAGAGAACCTGTTGCTGAAAAGTCGCGGTTCTTGTCCTCTCGCATTTAAAACTCCGAGCCCACAAATTCTCAACACCCAGTTCCCGATTCTTAGGGGTTCTGAGTAATTATCAGAACTGTGGTTCTGGTTCGGTTCTTTTTAGGCGTGGGTCTATGGTAGTATTAGTTCTATTCCTTAAACTCAAAAAATGTCCCAGCAAGTGTTGGCTATTATTATGTACATAGCATACCGAAGGTACCGGTACCTACGATTATAACCCTTAATAACATTTAAGATTCCGCGGTTTATCATGGACACCTACTGTACAAAATTTTCACTTTGTTCAAACTTCGAACTTACTATCAGACAGGCTCCGCTCGCCTATTCCTCAGTCACGTGGCTCGATACATAGTGGCAGCCGGAACGTTACCTCTCGACTGTGTTGCACTCAACGTTCTCTGGTAACTCCACACAGAAGCTTGGGCTAGTAACCTAGCGGGGTACCGCAGTAGTGTAGAGCTGAACGCGAGACAAGAGAAGGAAGCGCAGGAACACTTGAGCTTGTTGCCCACCGAGAAGGAATGGGATTAGAGGAGGAAGCCTCGAAGGTGACAACCCCCTCTCTCTTATACACGAAGTATACACTAACTGTCGCGTAAAAATACGATCGTCCCACGTATACTATACCGTAACAGTAGAAGCAAGTTCCTCAGAGCTGTGTGATCAGGCGGAGCTCGACACGCCAATCTCCACACCTTCTCATAATGTCCACTCGGTCCCTGCTGGCCTTTGTCTCTGTCATGTCCTCGTGGGCCTGGGATCACCGGCAGCTGAGTACTCGCTTGTTGGCTGAGCAAAGCGCTATGGTGGACAACACGGCGAGAGACGTTTTCTCGCCGGCCCCTCGAAGTCTCTTCTCGCCTTTGAAGGGGATCAGACGTGCATCAATGCAAACATATTTGGCCTCTACCCCGCCGTTGCAAAGTGTGATCTTTTATATCTTCTTTCATTGGTGGACGGGGGCTCGAGTACGGTACCTGCCTTCATGGAGGTGCTCAAAACCCTGTTAGGTGTTGCGATGAGCTCAAACAGCTCCGGGTCGGCGGACTAAAAGTCCACGCTGTCTTCGTGGGGAACCATTTTTTATGTGTTCTGCGACATTATGAACACGAACGCAGGCCCGTGCATTGAGACGCTGTTGCCTGCACTGATTAAGCTATTTAAAGTGATGCAATGTGCTGCAACGAGCTCAACGGGTACCTTGAATTGATGAAACTTCTTGTACGAACAGTAGGAGAGAATGCGTCCTACTTGAAGTCCTAAATTGTCCTATTGTCCTAAAATCTGAAAAAAAACTAGCAATCGGCTCATAAGCAAACCAATATTTAGGACACTACAATGCGTTTTAGGACGAAACAAGCCAAGCTCCGCGTGTCCTAATAGGACACTCGACAACTAAACACTTTGTCTGTCCTATTAGGACAGACAGCAACTCAGACCACTGTCCTATTAGAAAAACACTAAACCCATCATGCACTGTCCTATTAGGACAACGCTACTAGCTTCCGACAGTCTTTTATCAGTACAATTCAGCTATAATAATTTTTCAGTTTTTTAACACAACAGCAATTACACAAGGGGAAATTGTATTAGGAGGCTAGTACCTTAATTCTATCTGCATCTACTCAAAGGTTTTGTAGTCTTCGGGAATCTCCAGTTTCGTGGGTGGGGCATGCTGAAAGGCTGTCTGGCGGAGGTGTTTGATATACTCGATACGTCGGATATAGCGTGCAGTCTCACGTTTGATGCCTTCAATAAAGACTTAAAGGCCGTATACCCATTCGGGACGCAAAGTCGCGATTGTACTTCTTCAATGGTTTGTTGGTAGATCACATCAACCTCAACACGCACCATCTCCTAATCATTCCACGTCGTGGCGTCATACCTTTCCATCCAAGTCTTAAAAGAAATACTTCCAGAATGCATTCCACTATGTCTTTGCTCCAGTTTCGTTGCCAATACTGTGGACGTATTTAACACCTAAAAAAGTTGCAAACAGAGTGAGATTCAAAACACATTACATCAAAAAGGTCAGATTCAAGTTGTAAATAGGTATGATAGAAATATTATAGTCCATACCTTTTTTGCGATTTGGTTCACAGGGATGACAGCAAGCGTGTCAAGTTTGCCGGGCTGAGCGCGCTCTTGATTTGGCAGTCTGGAATGCGTAGATCGGCTATTTTACGACGTAGTGACTATTTCCAGTGAAACAGGCACCCTACGAGGTTGACACGGAGAAACTGCTCTAGAGCTGCATTAATTAAAGCCTTTTCGAAGTCACACGTGACGTTTTCAGGGCTCACCTGCCTGTTGCTCAAAATGATGAGCTCTTATAGCACCCGCCAGTACATATCTTGCGACTTGCCTTGAACCAACACGTAGCAAATGGGTACGTAGAGATTGACGGCAAGCTCAAACGCCATCACAATCGGGCATTGGCTGAAAGGTTTGGGTGCCACCAAAAAGGTGCCATCTATGAAAAGGGTAATCTTCGGATACCGCAGTATCAGAACCAAATCAGTGTGCCCAAAACCAATCATGCGATAAATCGGTGGTTGGCTATGTGGGGTACGCCAAACTAAACTGTAGAAAGGACCTAGTGTCCTTGTCGCTTACACGGCGTACTGATGGAGAGAGTATGGCCTCATATACATCGCCGCCCGTACACTCCTTGCGTGTCTGCTTCACTATAGAGACGACAGGTGCGCGTGGAATGATAGTGAGCGTGGCGTCGTCGGCAGCGTGGAGGCGCTTGATCCCGTGGTACACCTCTTACCAGACAACTGGTGGAGAGGTAGCCATGTTGCTGACGCTGCGTCGCTGTAGCTCTGGGTGCATTTCACTTCGCATATCAATGACTTGTGGAACCGCCTCGTCGCACGTATGTAGGACCCCGTCTGCTACAACTGCACCTGATTGGACAGTTATCTTAGCCTTGTAATCTTTGCGGAACCTCTTGCAGACGTAGTAAATAGTGCTTGATTCAGGGCACGAGCGCTTGATGTAGAAGGAGTAGCCGCGATGGTCCATGGCGCTTAGCTGCCGTGGTGGAGATTGAGAAATGGTTGGTTGTGTGCTCAGGGCAGTAAGTAGCGCTAATGTGAGTATTAAGTAACGCTTATGTAAATTTACTGAAAAGTAAAAACAAATGAGATTTAGGACAATCTGGAGGACACAAATTATATTATTCTGTAGCGACGGATTAGTCGCTTTTTAGGACACGTCTCCTGTAAAATTTAGGACAAATAAGGACACTTTAGGACGTGTCCTTGGACGCATTATCCTACACCTCCACGTCATTCGGTGGGTTGAAGGCAAAGGTTCGAGCTGCCCCACCTCGACTAGTGTGGCGTTGCTGACTGCGCTTCGCCTCGAAGCTGGTGCTGCGACAGTCCAACGCGAAATGGATCTCAACAGCCTCTTGGCAGTCAATGTGGCCACGCAGAGAACAAACGCGAGCGTTCCTCCCTTGCCAACGGCCGTCTAGACAACTACATTTAGGAGAAGCTTAACGTTTTGGCGAAGTAGGACAGGAGATTGCTAGCTGCTGATGATATTGTCAATTCCAGTGAAAATTGGATACCGAGGGTGATTGACGGATAGTCTGAAAAATCAACACTTAGATATGATTGGTCAAAACTCACCAGCTGCAGCTTAGGTTGAACCACAAGCTGATATTGATGCGAAGTAGCGTCCGCTGGGGATGCTGGTATCTGCTGCTCAGGTTGACCAACAGGAGATGCAGATCGGGGTGATGTTCGACGTCGTGTGGAACGTGGAGTCCGCGGCTGTCTAGCTGTACCAGGGGCTGGTTGAAGGTCGAGCTTGAGCTGATTCACCAGGTGATCTTGCTGCTCCAAGAAGTGACGCTCGTTGGGCTGCAGATGACACTGGACCCGGGGTTGAGTATGCCCTAGTCGTGGTCGCTGGCAGTGCTTCTCGGCCTGGAGGTGTACGCCGTCGTATTGGACCTGGGTGAGTCTCCGTTGGCGTCCGAGTACGCTCAGGATATGGAGATACACGGGCCGAATGTGGCGATACACGTGTTCGACCACCACAGCGTGCACCATCAGTTGATGCAGCACCCGTTGGTGGGGGTCCTCTTGCGCTACCAGGCGAGACGTTAGATCGGAGATCCACTACCGTTTGCTGACACGGGAAACGTTGCCGATGCGCTCTGCTCTGAGCTTGTAGTGTGTGGAAACCTGTCGCATGTAATGTTTCCGTATGATGTATGGTAGGATGACGATTTCATAGGCCATTCAGCGCGGGTGATTAATAAATCAGACGCCAGGAACGCTGAGACCGTACGCAGCGCGACCGCAAATAATGTGCGCGCAAGACAAAAACTTTTACATAGTAGTAGCAGGAGCACTGGTTGGAGTCTGTTCGCACCACCCACCCCTCTCTGGGCATACCAACGTGGTGGGCTCGACGCACTGACCACTTAACAGCAGACCTGTAAAAGTTCGCCGCCTTTTGTTTTTCCTCATTTTTGAGTAGAAAGCACAATACTTGAAGTCGAAAACGAATCGTTCGAAGTGGCCACGAGTCATTCCAGCGGCACAAGATTTGTTTACGGGGTCAGTGCGTCATCAGGGCAGCGTGGTTGATTAAAAAGCGGTCTTCAACGGAGATGAAAAGGTAACTTCCCTATCGCAGGTGTGTCTAACGGATGATACAGACTTCTCTATCGCATTTATCGTAAATGGAGAGGCCTTCTTGCCAGAGATTCACGCTGTTGCTGCGCTTTGGTGCACTGAAAATATTCCTTGTTAGGGCTCGATAGCTCATTCATCACGTTTGCCACGCAACCATCATGGATCTTGGATGCATTGTACATGCATAATGATCACGCTGCTTTGCTTTCTGTGCCGATCTCAAGGATGTCGTACCGTCAGTCCAACGGTCGGCTGGCGAAACGGGCTTAACCGAAGGGTTTGTGATCGTGCTCAACCAATGGACCGAGGTGTGTAACGGATATCTGCGGCTTTAATCGATAGTCAAAGGTACAAGTTCATCTGAACTTTCAACTTTCCGTCTCCTCCTTCATTTTCAAAACGGCGAACTGCTACGCAGTGCTTTAGTGTCACCTGGTCATGGCCCTCCTTCGAGCGTGGCTCACTCTGCTGCTGCTAACGGTCCTTTCAGTGCTCCCATCAACGTTGGGCCTCAAGGCGCAGCATCGGCAGCTAAGCGTCGATGATCAGCAAATCTATCTGCGACTACTGAAAGAACAGTCGGTCATGGCGGACGACGAGGCGGCCTGCAACGCCAGCGCCAGTAGCAGCATGTTGTCCACGTACCTTTCGGCACTACCGTCAGTCGCGGGGCTTCAGGGCTGTATCGCCACCAACATCGCGCAGCTGTACCCGTCCATCGCGGGGTCTGGGTCGCAGTGTAACCTCACGACGCTCAACTCGCTGGTGAACGGAGATTCGGACGACTCTGTTGCCTTCAACGAGGTGCTGAACCTCTTACTTGCAGGCGTCGTGGGCTCCAGCGGCTCCGGGTCGGGGTCGGTGGACCTAGCGAGTGCCTTGTCCTCGTGGAGCGACGACAGCAGCACATTGCAGGGCTTCTGCAACGTCATGAACACTCAGGCGGGCCCCTGCGCTGACACCCTACTACCGGAGCTGATTTCACTGCTGGATAGCGATGCACCGTGCTGCAGTGAGCTGAATGGATACCTCGAAGTGGCAAAACTCATCGTCCCAACGGGGCAAACACTAGCGCAGACCCTCTCAAGTCTCATCAACGGACTGCATCAAACCATGTGTACCACTACAAGTGCAGACGACCAGCTCTGCTCTGTGCCTCTAAGCTCCTACCTGTCTGGAGTCGTGACCAGCGACGAGTCTTCGCTGCTCGGAGCCATCATCTTCAAGGCAGGAGTGCCGCTGTACGCTGCATCCGAGAGCGACGTTTGCTCGTCGCTGGAGACGAGCGATCTCGCCAGCGGTCTGGGGAGTGGAGACATTTCATACTACGAGGCTTCCTGCTGCGCTTCGGGCCTTTCGACGTTCCTCCAGAGCGTCGATGCGGTGGCGACGCACCTGTTTGGCAATTCGATGGCCGAGTTGTTCACTCTGATCACGGGCCGACAGAATGCCGCGTCCCAGTTTACTGCGCTGTATTCCACCATTTCAGACTGCAGTTTCGACTCCACTTGCACAGCGCCGTCCTTCGCGACTAGCTCAACCTCCACCGCCGGGTCCTCATCCAGCACCACCGCCGTGAACAACAAATCTCCATCCCCAGAGAACGTCACGTGCATACGTCTGGACTTTTGCGATAGTGACGACGTGTGTAGCAAAGTGTGCGAGGCTGGATCTGCTCTCATCGAGCCGTGGGTGGCACGTGCGATCACGTACCAGCGCAACCTGACTTACTCAGAGACGCTGTGCTACGCAGAACTCCCAGCAACACACAACAGTGTGATCACTCAGGCTCATGGCTACGGCAACCGCGACCAGCTCTTCAACGCGAGGCTTAACGCCTCGAATGCCGCCTCGTATATGCGCACAAGCAACCAGTTTCTCAGTTTAAGTGACCAACTGGATCTGGGCGTACGTTTCCTTGAGCTGGACGTGCACTTCTTTGCGTCGTCACTGCGTAGCGCTCATTGCTCGGACTCTGGCGTCGCATTCGTCGATGACGCAGCATCTGCACTAGTGTCCTCGTTGGAATCTGTACTGGACGCCAGTGGACAAGACAGCACGGTACAGTGGGGATCAGAGCTAGTGGGCTGCTTGCCGTCGCTCAGCGGCATCCGCGCCGACGAGCAGCGCCTACACAATGAGTCATTGGGCGAGATCGCCACGTGGTTGTCGAGCCATCCGGATGATCTGGTGGTGCTCTACACTGAGATTGGCGACGAGGTGGGCACGTACTCGCAGTCAGAGGCCCTACTTGAGCTGTACACGACCATATTTGGCGACCTGCTCTTCTCTCCTTCAGACTTTGACGATGCTGGCGGCGATTGGAACGGCTTTACGCTGCAAGAACTCATCAGTCAAGGCAAGCAAGTCATTTTGGTGACCACACCCGAGGCGAACGACCAAATGTTCTACATGCGCGAATTGTGTGCTGGTTGGGCGGATGTCCCGAGCAGCTCGACCGGCGCGTCGGGAACGTTTTTCGGTGAGTCGATGAACGCTGGGTCGCTGGTTCGTGTTTTCAAGAGTGTATTACACTATGCCACGCTCACGGAAAGCGCGATGAGTGGTGGTGGAGCTGAAGTGGACACGGCCAGCGAGCCTGGTCACGTGAATGCTTCGACCTTACCCGTCTTTGTGGACGCCGGAGTGAATATCCTAGCCCCCGACGGACTGGACGGTGCGATAATGACCGCAATGGTTTGGTCCTGGGCGAAGAATGAGCCGGACGTGGATACAGCGACGGCCGTGCAGCTCTCGGCTGCTGATGGCCGGTGGTACGGCGTGGCCGACTCATCAAGCATCAGTCACGTGGCCTGCGTGAGCAACAACAACCGTACGACGTGGCAAGTTGTGGCTCAGGGCTCCAGTTGCCCCGAAGGCTATGCTACCGGCGCACCTCGCTTGGCGGTGGAGAATGCGGCACTATTGACGGTGCTGCAGACCGAGACCGTCGACGCCCAGTTGGACGTGAATCTCACAAACTTTCCGGCCATATCGGCTGCGGACCAGGCAGCATACGACGCCGGTGATACCAGCAGCAGCCAGTCGCGCATTGGTGCGGATGGCACGGATCTGGGAGGCAGCACGGTCAGCGGGGTGGCCACAACGACGACGTGGTCCTTAATGGCGATAGCTGCGATTGTAATGACGCTGTGGATTAACTAGGAAGAGCTGCGTGCATTGCACGGTAATACAGTACATTATTGATACAACTACACCGTGAAGTGCCAATGCCATTACTGTAACGTATACAGTACTGTACCGGTATTATTAATGGCAGTCCCGAATGGCAACATGCTTTAAAATTTGCGCACACCCGAGTGCGCCCGAATGTGTCCGAGCTACCCGAATGGGGGCATTCGATGTATACATGCGAATCATGTATCGGTGGATAAATAGTTCAGTGAAGTGTAGCCAAGTTCAATGACATCCCAGGCAGTGTCAGAGTAAAATGCATCAGAAATGTAAAGTCTCATATTATGCCGAAGAAACTTACACAGACATACAGAGGTACCGGTATCGTAGAAGCTGCAACCTTTGCTTGTTCACATATCCCACGTCAGAAGCTCCCGTAAAGGCTTCGAATGCCAAGAGAACGTAAATGCCACAATTGTAGTTGTCGGTCTGGATACCAATGCTCGATACGTACGACTGGTGATGATACCTATCCTTCGGTATCGGTAGGACCCCCACCAATTTGTGCGCGATAGCTCGGACGCTGGCCGCATAGGATGATGACATCGGGTCGTAAGTGTATATGCTTTCGGTCGATAGGTCGATCATGATAGCGCACCAATGATTTCCATTACAATTGATGGGAACGAGCACCTTTTCGTCCGAAACCCCGGCGAAAAGAGACGCAAGGCCCTCCATGTCTGTAGTGTTTTTCCCGTTGACAGCTACACCGACGTGGCTCGAATCCAGGTTGACAGCGGATCGGACCGTAGTTAGTAGCCACCGCTCGTTTAGCAATTGAGTCGGGATTACAGATTCTACCTTCATGTCTTTCCGTATGTGCCGGCAAGGAAGTAAGCGCGTCGCCATGAAGAGGCATGAGCACGTCCAACTATTCTAGTGAACCGTGTAACTGACTCGAGGCTCGTCGAGGGCATCTTCCGACCTTGATTCGCTATGGATAGCGTATACTCCGGGAAATACCTCATTATACTGATACGAAGCTTGGGCGACGGCAAACGTGTACTGCTTGTAGATCAGCTCACAAGCGTGTTGGCCAACGAGGTTGGCAACATGCTTCATCTCCTTATCGTAGTGAGTATGCTGGACGGAAGTCACTTTAAAGACTTGGTCGTTAAAGCTGCGTTCCTGACGACTCTGGTAGTACATGATGGAGGCAATGCACTCGTCCAGATCCATGAACGCGTCAACCCACTCTTTAAGCTGCTTCCATGCCGACTCTAAGCGGTTGTTAGTATTGTTTCCAAGAGTAACCGTGTTTTGACGCTTGTATGCACACCATAGCTCTCTGCAGCTATCCCAATTCTTCGTAAAGTAGGCTTCAAACGCATGCAGATTGGGGTCGCATTCCTCTTCGGCTTCATTGTGAGCATCCGAGCCGGCTTGAGTCTGAACTAAGTCCGCATCACCAACGCGAAACCCAATTGGACCCGAATCACCCGCTGAGTGCCCGACTGAGCTCGAATCCAACATTAAGTGCCCAACTGAGCCCGAATCAGCCACAGCCTGCCCGAGTAAGCTCGAACTGCCCGAAGCAACGCCAAATGTCACAAGGTGGCGGAGGTAGCGACGATGCTTCAAATAGGCTGCCTCAGTAGGAGCATACACGAGCAAATTGAATGTGCTGCGTAGCTGGTCCTTTTGCCATGAGGTGAAACCATAGTCCGAAGATGCCACAGCCTCTCTCAGATACTTCAACACGTGAAACTGACAGAGCAGTATAGAGGCATCCGGAAACGCTGCCCTGAGTACCGACAACTCCGTAAAGTCTTTGTCGATAAGTATGCTTTGGACTCGAGTCCATGCCGGATTGTTCTGCTTAAACTCCTCGATTGCAGTGACGAGAGTGTGACGACGTTCATTCTGCAGAAGGGCGTGCTGAACAAACTGTCCGTGGCCGAAAACATCGTGCGCCATGAACGAAAATACCTTGTACTTAGAAGCATTGGTGCCGTGGGTTGCATCGATCAAAAGAACCTCCGGGAATTGCTCGAACATCAGCCTCATGTGCTGGGTTTGCAATGTAATGCAGGTCGCAACTCGCTAATTACATTCAACACTGCACGTTAGCTAAGGTATCGATAGTCAAATTGAACGAATACTATACCTTGGTCTGCATGGTCTCGACAAATATACGTCCAATATTTCCTGGTGCTTCACAGAATTCTTGCATCCATGTT